GTACCCAAATGTGAGCTTATAGCAGCCATTGTCATTCAAAGCACCATATATTCTCTCTGCAATTTTAATCCAAATAAACCCCTTTTTTTCCTGAGTTGCTTTTTCTCAGGGTCTTTTATCACACCAACAGAAAATTAAATAATGCATTCTTTGATTTTAGTTGTTTTTTTCCGGCTGTCTGATTGCATAGCTATGGTCTCGTGTGGATTGGCTAGCTGTAATTCTGGCAGAGATCAACCCTCTGCACCTCAGTTGTTTGCCTTTGGTTTGACTGCATTTTATTCTGGTATTTCACCAGATGCCCCTCAAGGAAGTAAACGGACAGTCACGTTAGAGAAGAACTGGAAAACAATACAGTATATCTTTGTATTCCCTTCCAAAGAATAATTATTTACCCATGTACCCATTATTGCTTATTACAGAGATAGAAACAAGAGACCAGTCCTGTGAGAAATCATGATTTCATAGGTTAAAACATTATCTCATTTCTCTGAGGGTAAACAGAGACCCCAATAGGAAGCGTTTTGTAATATTGTCTGCTATGTGACTCTAGTACTTGGGAGTCTACTCATCCCATATAGGGAACTGACTAACTGATCAAAGTCCATCTTCATGGACCAGTGAGTTCTATTGGGGTTGTTTATAGACATATGGATGAGGGGATACTTACAGAAGCAGAAGTCACCCAGTGAGAGTTGCACCACCAAAGCCCACCCCAGCACGGATGACAGCTCATGAGAGCTGGGAGCCTGGTGCACACTGCACAGCCTGCAGGGAGCTCAGCAGGTTGAGGACTGTCTTTCCGGCAGCCCAGGTGTCCTGAGCCTCTTCTGGTTGGCTTGACAAACCGGAACATCTTCCAGGCAGCTCAGCTTGGCTGAGAATCATCATGAGCTCTGTGCATTTGTGGCCTCTTTGAGTCAAACTCTTTTTGAGGGTGGAGAGGCTTTATCATGTCATTGAACCACTTAACACACACTTTACCATGACATATATTCTGGTAGCACGCATATTGAATTCAGGCTAATAAGATGACTCAGCCTTTGTTGCCAACCTTGGTGACTTGACCCTCATAGCAGGAGAAAAGCAAATCCTGCAAGCTGCTTTCTGACCTCCATGTTTATGTGTGATTCCTACATACTAAGTACACAGATAATGAAAACCCAAGTCATAGATAAAGGCTAACCACTGCATCTGCACACAAAGGCACATAAGCAAGTACATGGGTGAACAATATTGAACATTAGAAGACGAAGCCTAACAAACACATAAGTTGACCACATACAATGAGAGGAGATGCTTAGTAGAATCAAGATAGAAACTTGTTACCTTGACAACACAGCTTAGCCTAAATTGAGGAAAGTGAAGGCAAAGAGTTCAAAAATAATGCTGGTTATTTACACTTTGGTGTAAAAAAGTGAGCTGGTTAATGTGAGCAAGAAACAACCAGGCAGAAATCTAGAAATGGGGCTGACTTACATGATAGGGAAGTGGCTTGATGGTGTTTTAAGGTCAGGGTCTTGAGATCATAGACCAGTTCCAGGGATGAGCCAGAGGGAGCAAAAGGACACAAGCTGCATTGTGGGTTCTACCAGGGGCCAGCGCTCACCCTGAAGGCTCGCTCTTGGAGGAAAAAAAGAGCCAACTGCACCACATTAACTCAAGCTGTGCCTTTATTTTTCCTGGGTGTCTCCAAGAAAAGAAGGCTTTCCTTCCTTCTTTGTGAAGATGCAACTGGTCTCAGTCTGAAGTTAAAGCCAACTAGTTGGTCAGGCTGAGCTGACCTGGGAGGAATAGTCATGAACCCAAACTGTCCAAAAACTGTGAGAGAAAGGAGAACTTAGCATTCTGGAGCAAGGAACATCTCATTTCTGGGAAGTCCCTTGGATATGTGAGTCTGGCAAGACAAACACCAGAACCATATGCTCTACTCCTGTCCCTTCTGAAAAGTGAGTGCCAGGCCAGGTCAGGCCAGGAGGGGAAAGGAAAGGGTGTCTCCACAGTATGCCAGAAACCCTGGGTAAGTTGTCTTCACACCACAATCAAATACAAGAGACCTCCCAGGAAGGTAGTGACTTCCCTGTCCAGATTACAGGGGCTAGCCTCCTTATAGTTCCCACCAAGTGTAGCCTTGACTAGTGTCTGAGATGCAGAAGAGAATTGGGATTTTCCACAAGGAGCAGACAGAAACTCTTTAGCTCATACCCTAATGTGCAATGATGGCCTGGAATTGCAGCCCAGATGCCCTTGGATCCCATCAGAGAGCTACCTCAGCCAGAGATTCACCACCAACCCCTGATTGCTCCCACAGTCACCACAAGCACCAGAGTAAAGGTTGTTTTGCACTTTGCAGTGTGTAGAAAACATATGCTCCCTTGATCCCTCCCAGGGCTCCCCAAACACGGTGCAGTGCCCCACATCCTATTCACAGTCTCATTGTGGCAGGGCTTGGTGGCTTCCCTCTTCTTCTTTTTTATTTGTTTGGGTTTTGTTGCTGGTTTGGTTGGTTTTGGAGACACGGTCTCACTATGTAGCTCTTGCCTGCCTGAACCTCACAGAGGTCCACCTGCTTTTGCCCACCAAGTGCTGAGATTAAAAGTCTGCACCACTGTGTCTAGTACAGAGGCCTCTTGTTCTTCCTGGCCACCCACTTAGACCTGAAATAATCACACAGAAACTGTATTTGCAATGCTGTTTGGCTAATAACTTAAGCATATTTCTGGCTAATTCATATTCTAAACTAACCCATCTCTATTAATCTGTATATTGCCACATGGCAGTGGCTTACCTGGTAATGTTCCCAGTGTCTGTCTCAGGCCGAAGATCCACGGCTTCTCCCTGACTCCACCCTTCTTTCTCCCAGCATTCAGCCTAGCCTTCCCTGCCTACCTAAATTCTGCCTTGCTATAGGTCCAAAGCAGTTTCTTTATTAATCAATGGTACAGAGGGAAATCCCATATCAACTGTTCCCAAGTTCCTTTCTAATCTTTGAGCCTCTGTGTCTAACACAGTTCATTGTCATGGTAAAATCCTCCTTGCATGACAGTTCCTTTCTCCCTATCCAATTTCTGTCATTTTACCCTCCCACTTCCTCCTATCCTGAGGAGCTAGGAGAGTCTGCAAGGATCCTGCAGGTCCGTCCACATTGGCTCTGTGTGTTGTTATGCATGATCACTAGAGGGCAGCAGACCCTCATCCTTCCTTAGAGCCAAAGGAAACAACATGAGCAAAATCAACTCTTGTGGAAAGAACATTCCGGGTAAAGGCCAACTTGGCAAATGTCACTCTGCTAAACCACAAAGGAATTACATGAAGCTTTATGTTCACTTTAAGCATCCCCCCCAAACAGACAAACAAACAACAAACAACAAACAAAAAAGCTGGGCAGTGGTGGCACAGGCCTTTAATCCTAGCACTTGGGAGGCAGAGGCAGGCGGATCTCTGTGAGCTCGAGGACAGCCTGGTCTATAAGAGCTAGTTCCAGGTCAGGCTCCAAAGCTACAGAGAAACCCTGTCTCAAAAAAAAAAAAAAAAAAAAAAAAAACAAAACTTTAAGCATCCCCCTCCTCCTGCCCCACTGCAAAGCTTACTGGTTCATTCAAGATTGCTGCTCCCTCTCCGACTGCAGTTTTCTATGGTTTTCTCAGTTCTGGAGCAGCCTGGATTTGCTAGCCTTTAGCTCTTCCCTCACAGGCACCTGCATGTGCTGGCTAAAGCTTTCACCTCATCAGTTTCATGAGATGGTTTTCTAGGCATTGACCTAGAAAACCCTGGTGCCCAGGGTAGGTAGGGACTGTCCTCAGAGTAGGCCTTCCTTATTAAGGAGGTGAGGGGAGTGGGTGGGCAGAGGGGAGTGGGCAGTTTCCCTCACCAAGGTATATCCTGTATGTCCCCTGTCCCCCAATCCTTCATGATCATTCTAAAAGCACAAGCACATTTTACTTCAGATTTCTATCAAGAAAACCATGTCCTGTGCAGTGTGCCCCTTACTTAGAACGTATAGACCAGATTGGGTTGCAGGGACACAGTGAACTCTCTGAGTCAGTTGAAAACAGGAACATATCTGTGTTTTGCTAGCTGGGGAGAAGCTTTGACTCACCTACGAGGTAGCACTGCATTCTGGGAGGAAGCAAATGATTTTTTTATGGTCTTACCTCCATCTTTGGAGCAGTCCAGGCTGAGTGAGGTGGTGGTGACGGTGAACCAGGAGGAAAACCTTCTGGATTTACCCCAAATTGGCTTTGTTCAATACTTCTGATTTTGGTCTTTGCAGAGAATAGACCTGCTCTAGCTTGCTTCCTGTTGCTGTGACAAACACCATGACTCAAAGCAGCTTGGGCAGGAGAAGGCTGATTTTGGTTTACAAGTTATAATCCATCCTAGAGAAGCCAGGCCGGAGCTCGCAGCAGGAACCTGGAAGCAGAAACTACTGCAGAGACCATCAAGGAAGGCTGCTTACTGCTCATCTCTCTGGCTTGCTCTGCTATCTCTCTTTACACAGTTCAGGTCCACCTGCCTAGGGATGGCACAGGCCACTGTAAACTAGGCTGTCTAATATCAATTAGCAATTAAGAAATGCCTCTCAGACAAGGCCATGGGCCAGCCTGTTATGAGCAATCATTTAGTTGAGGCCTCCTCCTCCCAGATGACTCTAGATTTTGGTCACCCTCACAGCAGAAGTTCACTGGGACAAAACCCAACTGGCTCTTCTGTTATGTGAACAGCTGTGCTCCCACAGCCTTCAGCCACATGGTGGCCCCCAAAGGCATCTCTAGAAAAGCTATGCCAGTGTGTTCACGCTGGCCCCACCCTAAGCTTCCGTGTTCATCGGTGAAGGGTGTTCTGAGTTTCCTCTCAGGCTTTACTGATAATACATGCGTTTAGAAACTTCTTTCTTCCTAGAAAAATAGGGAGATTGGGGTCTTAGTGACCTGGTGAATCCTTGACTCTCCTTGTGTGGCTCCTGGCCCTCTTTAGGATTCACTTCCACTGGCCTGAGGCTAGAGATGGCCACTTCATCCCACGAAGGAGCAGCTGGAGGAAGCCAGGTGGAGCCCAGAAGCTGCAAGACATCAATAGGACAGGGGGAAGGACCAAGGTATGTTTCCGTGTGTGTGTGTGTGTGTGTGTGTGTGTGTGTGCACTATCAAAACCTTTGGGGGAGTGTTTGGCCCATGGAAGGCAGCCTGTCCTTTGCCAGCTTTGATTTTAAGAGCCCGGGGACAGTTTTATCTAGGCAGGAACCATGTGATTCCAACTGAATCCAGACGGGTGTAGAATAAACTTCCGAAGAAAGTATGTGGGGCTGCTTCCTGCCAGGAGGTCTGTCAAGGAGGTGCCATACCCAAGGGGGAAGAAGAGTGTCGATTGGGAGGTCCGAGAGCCTAGCAGATGGCATCGCAGGAGTTGGGTTCTCAGGAAGTCATCAGGTGCTATGGGGATTGTGGGTTTCCTGAGGCAGATGGCAGAGTCTGTGTTCTAGATTCTCTCTTCTAACATTTCCCAGTCCTTGCACAGAAGATCAGTTAGTTATGTGTTGGAGGAAGTCCAATTTAATCTAAACGTCCCTTACCTGTGAACCCCCTCTTATGTTAACACACCCACTGGTTAGGACAAAATTTCTTTCTCCACTGGCCTCTGGGGGGGCACCTCTCTGACCTCCTTTCTCTGTGGCCACTTGTCCCTTGACGTGGGATGAATCCATGTGTCACAGAAGCTCCTCCCAATGGCTGAGCTCGTGGTACCCTCTGGCTGCATCCTGAGAAGACACAGAGAGGGACTTATGTACAGTCTTAACTGTCAGTATAGGGTGATGATTGTGTCCTGGTGGAAACATCTGCTCTCTGTCACCAAGACCTCTGTGCCATCAGAGTGTAAGGGCTTGGGGACTGGAAGCAAACATTTTGCTGAAGCTGGTGATGTCATCCTCACTTGACTCTACCTGTGGATTCCTGAAGCATGAATCATGGCTAGGGAGAAATGGCACCGTCTACTTCCACATGACCAGGCCCATGTACAAACTGTGGTCCCTCTGTGCCTGAGCCCCTTGCTGATAATTGGGTGACTGCAGGAAGAGGCTGACTGGCACCAACAGAGTGGGTCATACTATTGACTTGATAACCAAGGTCTCCCCTTTGCTGTGGTCAGTTTTCGATGAGCGCTCAGAAGTTCTCCTGGTTTACTTCCAGACACCTCTTCCAGACCAGCTTAGCCCTGATTCCCCAGGCATGCTGTTTCCAAATCTACACCACCCAGCCACATTGTTGGCTGGAGCCCACATGTTGGTAATAGTTGCATGTCTGACCATTTCTTCTTCTAGTGAAATGAACCAAGTGCACTGCTCAAAGTTCTGCCCACAGAGAGAATATCCTTCTGACATTGTCCCCAAGAGATGCCCAAGACTGGGCCACCCTGCTGTAGCTGTCCTCTCCTGGTGGTGCCTGCATATTATACAGAATCATCTATCAAAACCCAAGTCTCCCTTTGCTCTGTCAACTGATTGCAGGGGACTTCCTATGCGGTCACAGACTATGGCCTGGAGGGAGAAGGTGGTGTAGTTGGCGTAAGGGTATTGGGGATACTGCTTTGTGAAACCAGTTCATCCTTCTGATCACATACATAAGACTTCCATAGGATGGAGGGCTGGTTGTCCATCTACCTGATGGCCTGGTAGAGTGTCTTAGTGCATCCTTTACTGCTATCACCAGATATCTGAGGCTCCAAGTCCAAGATCAAGGGGTCCATGCCTGGCAAAAACCTTCAGATTGTGTTATACTATGATGAAGAAGTGAAGGGGGCAGGAGAGTGCATAGGAGGCAGCAGGAGGGGTACAAACTCACCTAAAATGAATACATCTTTGTGTATCACATAATTCATTGCCTGCAGAGGCCAAAAGAGGGAATTAGATCCTCTAGAACCGAGTTGCAAGTGGTTGTGAGCAACCACGTGAGTGCTGGGAACCGAACTCAGGTCCTCTACAAAAGCAGCCAGTGCTCTTAACTGTGAAGCCGGCTTTCTTGCCCCACAAACTCATTTTTATAATGATCCACTCTCCCCATAATCTGGAGCACACTTCCTCCAGGAGGGCATGGATCTGCTTGTGAGTGCAGAGTCCCTTTCCCAAAGCTTCTTCTCTTAGGTCATTCCCCAACATTGCTGAATGGTGAATGAAGTTCCCAGCTTTGGCGGAGGCATTCAAATCATAAAACTTGACCCCTAGACCTCAAGTTTGTGTCTGAGTCACAACCAGGGCATACTCATGTCATCTGAATCACTCCTGAGGTTTTAATATGCCATCCCAGCTTTAACCAGTCTTATCCAAAACAAATTAGGATGAAACTCCAGGCAGGGCTTATCCTGAGAAATTCTCCTCCAGCTGTGAACCTGGGAAGTCAAAACAAAGGCTTTCACTGCACAGCGGTGAGGCCAGTACAAGGCCGATTTTCCTATCTCAAAAGGGAGGTGTAGGCCAAAGTGGATAACAGATCACTTTAGCAGTCTAAAACCTAACAGGACAGACGACGTTAAACCTAAAGATTCTACAACTGTCTTTACTCATATGCTGCCTCTTGAACATGCTCAGGGTTTGGCCTCAACACTCCAGCAGCCCCATAGAACAGCTTCCCCGAGCTCAGCCTGGGCAGCAGCTCTCACAGGGAGTGAGACACCTGCAGCCGGCCCAAGCATAGCTTGGATGTGAGGGATACTGCTACCTCACATCTGTGTCTCTGAGGTGGTCTTTCCTCCATAGCTAATATTCTAAAGTGATATGTTTGACCATAGCTTCTTTTATTTTTTTTAAATAATTTATGCTTTGCATATTTTGGTGTGAAGATGTCAGATCCCCTGGAACTGGGGCTATAGACAGTTGGGAGCTGCCATGTGGGTGCCAGGAATTGAACCCAGGTCGTCTGGAAAAGCAGTCAGTGCTCTTAACAGATGAGCCAGCCCCCTGACCATTGCTTTTTTAGCTTTGATATTTGGAGCCACTCCCAGGGAAAACCTAGGCCCAAACTGAAGGGAATTCATGGATATCAGGAAGTACATTGACTCCGTGTGGGCGTGAAGGGGCCAAGTACATGCAGTAAAAGCACTGCAAACTTTGGTGATTCGTCACAGATTGCTTTCTAACATTTTTGTCCATGCTTTTCTTCATTTTCTAAATATGGTTGAGAAACATGTTATTGCTAGTGAATGAGGAACCCTCTAAGGAGACAAGCCATTGTGGAATTCTATGAAGGAAGCACACGTTTAGCAACGACCACTTCTGAGATGAGCTCACGGCGATTTCGTGTTCTTCCTTAAAATGTTTATATTAGGCCGAGTCCTCTAAAATAAATATCAAAGTTTATAGTCAGGACCACATGGGCCAGGGATAAGGCTTAGTTTGTAGAGTGCTTGCCTGGAAAGCATGAAGCCCTTGGTCCAACTCCTGCTGTAGGCTAGGTGAGCTGGTGAGTGAGCGCAGGCGCTCTGCTTCTCTCAGTCGCCGTGATTGCAAGCACGTGCTACCATAGACCTCCAGGCCTCAAACTAGCAAAGCAAGACCTTACAGCGGAGCTGCCTTGCAACCCAGTGGTTTAAATTCTCAGGGAACAAGGAAGACCACCTTCCTGTGGTCCCCTCTCCACTTGCCGTGGGTGGAGCACTGACGCTCAGCTCTTGTCTCAACAGCACCGGAGGGGGCCAGGAGGACAATATCAAGGGGAACCTGGAAACATCCACGCTGCGGCTCCTGCTGTTAGGGAAACGTGGCGCAGGCAAAAGCGCCACAGGAAACACCATTCTGGGTAAAGCCGTGTTCGAGTCCAGGTTCAGTGACCACATGGTGACCAACCGGTGCCAGAGTGAGAGTGTGACCTTGAGAGAGAAGCGGGTCGTTGTCATCGACACCCCGGATCTTTTCTCCTCACTGTCCCGTGCAGAGGTCAGGCAGCAGAACCTGCAGCAGTGCTTGGAGCACTCGGCTGATGGTCTCCACGCGCTGCTCCTGGTCATTCCCATTGGCCACTATACTGAGGAGGACAGGGAGACCATTCAGAGCATCCGTGCTGCGTTTGGCCCTAAAGCCTCCAGTCACATGATTGTTGTCTTCACTCGGGAAGATGAGCTGGGTGAAGACTCGCTGAAGGACTACGTGGAAAGCAAGAGCCCTCTTAAGGAGTTGCTTGGAAACATTGGAGATCGATACTGTGCTCTCAACAACAAGGCAGACAGGAAGCAGCGGGAACAGCAGGCGTCCCGGCTCCTAGATCTGACTGAGCGGTTGGTGGAGGAAAGCCCAGAGCCATATTTCGTGCCCTTGACAATGGAAGGCTGTGGAGTCCAGGTAGGACTGGTGGGAGGAAGGTAGTCCTAGATCAGTGGACTATCTTGTGTGTTTACAGGTTTGCTTTGTTTAGGGAGATGTGTTTACATGCTGTCCGGCGGCGTTACTCAACCGGTGGCTTATGTTTGAGGGTTGAACGACTCTTTCACAGGGGTCTTATGGGGTCGCATATTGATATTTACAATATAGTTCTTAACAGTAGCAAAGTTACACTGGTGATGTTTGGGGTCACCACAACATGAGGAACTGTATTAAAATGTCTCAGCATTAGGAAGGTTGAGAACCTCTGCTCTGGAGCAATAGGAACCATCAAACTGCTTGAGTGTCAGCCTGGGACCTTTGGACTTACCTGGAAAGTTAATGGGAGACAAAACCTTGTCTCCTGTGGCCCCTCATGGTACTGAACACACTGGACTCTACACAGCCTTTCTTTAGACTTCACAGGAAAAAAAAACAACAGCAACAAAAACCCCACCCAGTCTTGTTTTTTCCCCACTTCTCCTTCTGGCTGTTTCAAAGTCTTCCGAGTCTCTTTCCTGTCTCTGGCCCAAAAGACGATGTTCTCAGTGCCTCCTTAGACTCTCCTTCATTTCTTCATGTTCTTCCCAGAAGACCCCTCACTTTTAGGTCCTGGAGGACCATCTGTGGTCCTCGGTTTCTAAAGCTGTAGCCTTAGCTCAGCTCTGTTCTGCCAGCTCAGGCTCTGTCGGACCCTGACACTAACTCACCCTTGGCTTGCTCAAACCTGTCACCACCCAGCACCCTAAAATCTCTTAGAGTCCCGCCTTCCTCTCCGCTTAGCCAATGGTTGTGTTGCTCCCCACAGAGCCTTAGCTCTGAAACTATTGCTCTCTGACGTCCCTGGAATCACTGAAGGTCTAGTGACATCAGCACTTCTGCCCTCTAACGTACTGACAGTTTTCACCTCACTCACGTATGGACGTCCTCCACTTCATGTCACATATAATCGCCAGCTGTTAGTCACATTTCATTCTTTAACGTGGGAGGAAAATGCATTTGCTACCAAGGCAGTTACAGAAATGCAGACTTCCTGTGACGAGCTGACACCCAACGGAGTGGTTTCTGCACAGACGCCAGGTCCTCACCACATGGGGTGAGCAGGTGAACATCAGTACAGAGGCTTCTGCAAGGCAAGGGTCAAACAGAAGGTGAACCGTGGCACCATCTGCTCAGAGAGAAGCCACAAAACTGATGACGAATGAATCTAAGCAGAATGGCAGCAAGAGAGAAGTCAGCATTTACTGAGCACCTACTAAAGGCCAGACTCACACATCACCAAATACTTGCGTGAACGCCATGTAAGGCTGTTCTACAGATGAGGAAACAGGCTCATGACATCTTGTCTCCTACGCTGATGTGTGCTTTGTGTCTCTTCCCTGAGTGAAGCGTGACACAGGGATGCCAGCAAAGAGAAGAAGCTCAGAATGACTCCCACAAGAAAACCTTGCTTAAAATGCTCAGCATCTTCTCACTGATCTTAAGACTCAGCTTGGTTGCTTGCCCTGTATCCTGCTTTCTATGCTGGTCTCACTGGCCTTCCCTCCCGTCTTGGGTTATGCTCATGCCCACTCTGGCACTGTGCACCTGCATAGCTGCCTCTGCCTTTCTTCCCACCGTGCACCAGCTCTGTTCTGTGGATCTAACCACTCAGCATCAACTCACTTCCTCCATCTCCTCGGCCTCTTGACTCTCTCATCCCTGCTTGGCTCCTCACTTCTCTGCCCTCAGGATACCGCTTATGTCAGTCACTACCAGCTCAAGGCGCTCCTGTAGATACAGTTACAATAGCTGCCTCCCTCCGAAGCCCATGAGGATAGAAAACACCCATTCTGTTAACCACACTGCCAAGTCTTGTGGAAAAACGATGTCATAAGATGTACCTGGAATTTGCTATGGAGATTAAATGAGATGCTTAAAAAGTTGTTAATAAAGAGATGTTTAGTATTTCTTAGCTGTTGCTATTGAGATGTGTGGGGTTTAGAGGGATTATGAATATTAAGGATTTCAGGGGCTGGAGAGATGGCTCAGTGATTAAGAGCATTTACTGCTCTTGCTGAGGACCTGAGTTCAGTTTCTGGTACCCATATGGGGGCTCACAACCATCTGTAGCTCAGTTTCAGATCTGTCACCCTCTGTTCGCTCCCACAGTCACTGCACACGTGGGATTTGCATACAAAGATGTCGGCAAAACACACATGTAAAATAAAAATGATAGATAAATCTTTTAAAAATATTAAGGATTTTAGCAATCCAAAAGGGAAAATATATAAAGATAATCTGTACAAAGATTCTTACCACAGCGTCTTTTGAAGTAGCAAAACCAGAGATAACCCAAAGACCCACCACTGAGAGGACAGCTACATCAGTTGCATATGTCCACAGTGTAGGGTAGACGCACCAACCATAAGGAGCGGGTAGTACCATCTAAATTAACTTGTGTAGGTGTGAAGTTTATGATACCTAGTAAATTGCTGACCAGGAAGCCCCATGAATCTCGCCTATGTGTGTGGACTCTTGTGCATATTTGTAAAAGCATAGAGAAATATAGAGGGATATGTAAGCATTGACAGCTGTCTCTTTTAGGTTGGATATGGAAGATTATTAATTTTTTATATCATGCATAGCATATTTACATTGAAACAATGAGAAAGAGAGCTAGAAAGATAAAAAGAGAGGGGGAGAATCAAATACATTAAAGACGTCTCCTGAGAACAGGTAAGGAAGCAGAGGCAGACTCTTCTGACTGGTCTGAACATCAAGAGATAAGATTAGAATGAAGCCCAGGAGGTTTCCAGGAATAGCCCATCTGCAAGACTGAAAGGCATTGTTTTCATGTTAATTATGTGTTTGATTTTTCACACCTGGTGGGGTGTTCTCAATTTAACTTCCCATCAGAGGCTCAGTCACCACCCCAGAGAGCAGCAAGGGAATGGGGTGCTGGGAATGCCTCCATCTCTGGGAACGTGCTCAACAGCATCAGCGAGACTGAAAACTGGGCAGGAGCACAGAGAAACCTGAGGACCATGACCTTACTGTGACCTCTTCCTCCTCAGCAGATATTCTGTCTCCAGTTGTCTGTCTGTCTGTCTGTGATTGCGCAGAAGACTGTATTCTTAGCTATGTGTATGTCATTTTCCCCTTTATCTTTTAGGCTTGTGGGAATAAAGCTACATATGAAGGAGGGGACAATCTGCGTGGTAAGTCGATCACCCAAGCTTTTAGACTCATGTCTACATTCTTTTAATGCATTGCCCAGCCAAAGTAAGGTGGAAAACTAATGAATCAGAAACGAAAGGTCCTTGGAGACCCAGCGGCTCCCGGAGGACTCCTGCAGGCAAGGTGGGGCACTGCGATGGTCCTAGCCTCCCCTGTTCTGTGTATGGAGTCAGCCTTACTTTCCATGGCTTTCCCCCTAACTCTGTCTCTTCTTCCTGGTCACGAGTCTCTTATTCCTGATGGCGACCAGGGCACTCCTCATGGACGGCACTAGCTCACAGCATCTTTGTATGAATTTCCAACAACTGTGTGTCTTGTGCAGCAGCACAGGCCGGTACACAATAGTAAGCAGAATGCCTGCAGTGAGGACACACAAGGCTTCTGAAGCCACAGATGCATTTTGAGCTTCTTTCTGGGTCAGCCCTGTGGAAAAACTGAAAATCTCAAAGTGAAGCTCACAGACTGGGAAGTACCACAAAATAACAAAAATGTCATTTATGAAATTTAGTAATAATAATTAGTAGTAATAATTAAAACTGACGTTGTGGATTAGGAAATAACATACATGTACTTCAAGCCTCAAAGTCTATAAACTTATATGTACAGCCCATGTACAGTTTATAGCATCTCGGCATGGATATAGCAACTAGCGGCCATGGAAGGCACTCTTTTTCACAAGATCATCAAATGAAGGTGTCTTGTCAACACATTGAGTTTTCAGGCCTTGGGGATTAAAAATTCAGCCAATGCTGTTTAGGAAAACCCTCAGGACATGCATGTGCCGATGGCTGATCTAACCCAGGGGACACCTCAGCCCGCGGGGCTGGAGAGAACTTGCAGTGGCACATGGCTTGATTAGGTGGCTCCAAGGAAGTCTTTGGACTGGGTGCTAGTAAGCAGTGGGGGGTAATTCTACAACTAGAAACTCTAGGGGTTATTTTGTCCTCAGGATGACAAGGTTAGAGAAAGGCCACTGCTGTCCTTGTAGTCGCTAGAGGGATATTTTGGAGCTGATGACATGCTGCATATGGCCATGGTCCGGGAGCGCTGGTATCTACCATGGGACTGATGGCGGCTGAGAAAGAAGACACCGCCTCTAGGTCTGCTGTCTTCTTCCCAGCACCTGTGTCATTTGAAAAGAAATAACAAATGGAATAATATGATACTTTTTTTCCTTTAGTGTTCCTTGGTGGTGGTGGTGGTGGGGGGGTTTACAAGACAGTGGTTTCTGCAAGGGCTTTTTCACAGACCCTTTGTTTTTGGCTAATCCTCCTTCCACCCCCTCATCTCTCCAATATGCACACCCCTTCGTCCTCAAGCTTCTCTCCTCTCATCTACTTTCCTTCTACCTATGTTCTACCATCCCTGCCTCTGCAAGGGAACCTACCTTCATACTCCTTCCCAGTTGCTGCTTCCACAGAAACTCCACACCAAACCAGCAGAACTACGAAGTTCAAGCTTGGCTCCACATATGAGAGAGAAGACAAGACGTTTGTCTGTGGCCCTGGGTTACACCACTCAGTATAACTACCCCCAGTTTCATCTATCTACCTGTGACCTTCATTTCTCTTCGTGGCTGAATAATATCGCATTGTGTATATGTATGAACATATGTGTGTCATATGTTCATGGTCCATTCGCTGGCTGATGAATAGCTAAGTTTCCCCCATTTCTTAGCTATTGCGAACGGAGCAGCAATAATCACAGATGAGCAGAGATCTCTGCAGGGTGGTATAGAGTCTGCTGGGTATATGGCAGGTGTCGAATGGATGGGTCAGAGGGCAGTTTTATTTCCATTTCTTTTGAGAAACCTCCAGACTGAATTTCAAGACATCTGTACCACTTTTTACCCCCAAACACTATGCAAGGGTTTGTTCCCTTCCTCCACATGCACACCAGCATGTGTGGTCATTTGTGTTCTTGATGGCCATTCTGACTAAGGTTATAATACTCTTTGGGTAAAGGGAAATGCATGACACTTGGCTTATGTGGCTTGGGGGAGCACTTGAGAAGCAGCCATATTTGTATGGAAACCTGAGTAAGCAGCTTGTGTGGACAGTAGGGTGAGGGGCTCTTTGCTATGTGCAGGGTGTGAGGGCAAGGGGGAAGTGTGGGGAGCAGGACTCAAAGCCGGACTCAAGTTTTCCTCAACCATGAACCCTTTGTAGCTGCTCCATGCCTGTCAAGTTACCGGAGACTGCCCGGGTGTTATCCTCTCTCACCCTTTCAACAGACTGGGGCATCCTACCCTGTGTGTTCTGAGAGTCAGAGGAGAACAATTTGCCCAAATGGCAGAGGGATGTAGCAAGGACTCATTGTTTTGTTTTCTAGGTCCATCTAGACCTAATTTTATTCTTCTTTATATCCAAATAAGACTGATGGACGTGTATGTGTGTGTATGTGTACACACACATATACACATCACATTTGTGGTTGAGTGTTCTCATTTGTATATGTGTACATGAGTGTGTACAGGTAAGTGTGAACATGCTTGTGTATTGTGTAAACGTGCAGGCCTGAGGACAACCTCCGTGTATCACCTTAGGTACCATGCACTTTTTTTAAAAATATTTATTTATTTATTATGTATACAATATTCTGTCTGTGTGTATGCCTGCAGGCCAGAAGAGGGCACTAGACCCCATTACAGATGGTTGTGAGCCACCATGTGGTTGCCGGGAATTGAACTCAGGACCTTTGGAAGAGCAGGCAATGCTCTTAACCTCTGAGCCATCTCTCCAGCCCGCATGCACTTTTTTATTGAGACAAGATCTAGTCCTGGCCTGGAGCTCACCCTGTAGATAAGACTACCTGGCTAAAGTGCTCTACGATCTACCTGTCTCTGCCCCCAAGTGCTGGGATTCCAAGTGTGCACCATCACGCTTGGATTTTAATTTTTCCATGGGTTTAGGATGTTGACCTAGACTCCCCATTCTTACAAGGCAAGTTGCTTAGCAACTGACTTGTTTCCTAATCCCCCATACCACATTTTCTTCATTTAACTGTTGTTGGTTTCTAGGCTTATTATTATATTGTAAATAATGAGACAATAAACACAAATGGTTAAGCATTTTTTGCATGTTAATTAGAAAGTTAATATAAAAATAATATCCTCTCCTCTGTGAAGAACATTAGTTCTTACAGCCTCCTCTCATAGACAACCATTGCAAACTTCCATAAACACAGATGAATTTGTCCTGTTCTGAACTTCAGATAATGGAGCCATACACAATGTCAGTTTTGTGTCTGGATTCTTGCACTCAGCATGAGTTTCATACATGTTTAAAAAAACCCAAACAAACCAACAGCTGGGTATTTGTTGTGTGAGTATAAGGCTAAGGGATATTTAATAACCAGGTTGTCACAGCCCTTGCCTTAGCCCATGACATCATGCTTTCTTATTTGCTTTTGAAGAATGAGGGACAGCGGAAGTTCAATTTAGCAAAGCCATTCTCCTGGGAAATCCTGGGCTTCCCATAGTCCTTCTAGTTCATTCCTCCTTCCTGTGGTTTCTACCTGGGTGGCTGGGCTCTGCCCGAGGAGAAAGGCCTGCTTAGGCAGAGGGTGAGGCTTTGTAGAGTAGTTCACAGCTGTATTCAACGGCAGGAGGAGACACTGGGTCTATTTTTTATTTTTATATGTTTTGTCTCACAGGTACAAAGAGGAAAGAGTCTCAGCTTACAGGACATGATGAGGATGTGGAGATGCCGGAACTGAGGGTCCTCCTCATGGGGAAGCACGGTGTTGGGAAAAGTGCGGCAGGAAACATCATTCTGGGGAAGTGGCCCTTTAAGACTCAGTTCAGTGAGCAGCAGGTCACCAAGGACTTTGTCTCCCATAGCAGGATCTGGAACAGGAAGAAATTTCTGGTCATTGATTCTCCAGAGATCTCATCGTGGAAGCCTGATGCAGCTGATGTCAAGAAACTCACCTTTCCAGGTCCCCATGCCTTCCTGCTGGTGACACCACTGAGCTCTTTGATAAAGTGTGACGACAAGATGTTCAACCCCATCAGACATATTTTTGGAGAAAAATTCACCAAGTTCACAATTATTCTCTTTACCAGGAAAGAAGATTTAGAGGATCAGGCTCTAGATGAATTTATAAGTAAAAATAGTCATCTACGGGACCTCAGCTTGAAATTTGGAGAAAGATACACTGCTTTCAACTACCGGGCAACTGTGGAGGAGGAGCAGAGCCAGGTGGACAAACTCCTGAGCCAAGTCGAGAGCTTGGTGCAGCGCAATGGCAACAAGCCTTGCATCTTCAGAGAGAAAGGTACAGCTGGGCATAGCAAACGGTTTTGGGATCCAGCGCTTGAGTGTAAGGCATGGTCTAGAGCTATTACTTTTTGAAGGAAGTGCAGAGAGTGAGAAAAGGTCTAGGCTGGAGGTGTAGCTCAGTACAGTGCTTACCCAATTTGCACTAGGGTTGATCCCCAGCAGATCATCAGCTGGGTGTGATGGTGTATGCCTGTAGTCCCAACACTTGGGAATCAGAGTCAGGAGGACCAGGAGTTCAAGTTCATTGATTGAATCGTGAGTTCAAGGTCAACCTGGGTTATAAATAAGACCCTGTCTCAAAACCAATTAACAGAAACTTACTTTGGTGTCTTCTTCAAATTATCCTAAAGGTACAAGTTTTTTTAATGTACACTCTCATGGCCCGTCTTTAGTTCCTTCCTGACCCCATCCCACGTCTCCAGCATGGAGACCTCTCCCGATCCCCTTGCTGTCTGCTGTTGCCAGGACTCAGCACTCAGCTCAGTGATGACAGTTTCAGGTCACTGTTTTGCTTTTCTGTTTTCTTAACCCAGAACCCTCTCTGGGTTATTTATTCTTCCCTGCTTTGGAGATGGGGAAACTAGAAGAAAGTGTAAGTAGGGCTTGGAAGATGACTCACTGACTAACAAGCATGAAAACCTGAGTTTGATCCCCAGAACTCATGTCAAAAAAGCCAGGTGTGGCAGCGAATGCTGCGTTCCTGGTACTGGACCACACAGATTCCTGAGACTTGCTGGCCAGCCGTCCTTACCTACTTACCAAGTTTCAGGCTAGTGAGACTCTGTCTCTAGAACCAAGGTAGCCTGCAGCTGAGCAATGACAGCTGTGGTTGTCCTCTGACCTCTCTATGAATACCATTCATGCATATGTATACCTGCACATACATGTGCATCTAAACATACATTATATGAACACCCTTATATGCATGTAGCAGGGAGAGCAAGAGAGTTAGGAGCTAAGACATGACAAGGACAGAGAGCCTGGATGCTTGTGGCAGATGGGAACCATGTGGCACTAGATGAGGTGATTCCAGCTGTTACCTGTTGAGGAAGGAACTGCCCATCTTGTCCACACTTCCTGCTCTATGGACCTCACCTGGGGTCTTTCCCATTTCTACTCCTCTCTTCTCTTCCGACTCAGATGTGCTTACCCAGGAAGACTAGTGCCCCAAACAGCTGTCTCTGTTTATGGCCCATTATACATCCCACCTGGAGGAGCTACCTAAAGAAGTCTAGGGAAATAGGAAAGCCAGGAGAGAGCATTGGAGAAACTCAGTTTGAAACAGGTTTTAGAGAATAGGAAGGTTTAGACGGTTGGGGGGAAAAGGGAGACACCACAGAGAGTACACACCGGAAACTTCAAGAAAAGAAATATGACCGGCTGAGCATGCCTCTTAGGAGAAGATAAGAATGGCCTTCACGGAAACAGGGCTTCAAGTGGCAGGAAGAGTGGATTAGACAGACTTGACTACCGAGTCAATGCACGACATGAGTGCTGAAGCATGTGTGTGAGTGTGTGCTTGCGTGTGTGCATGTGCACGTATGTTTTGCCTGTGCTGGTGCAGATCAGTGATCTATTTTAACCCTTTAAGCATAGCTATGAGACTGGGTTCAGCAGGAATAGCTCACCAGCTGTCCTGGAAGGAAGACCGAGATGGGCTTTCCTCCCTCTTTGGTTTGAGGTAGACATTAGTGATTGACAAGGAGCTCATGATGGAGGACCACTGAGAAGAAACACAGTTCAAAGTGCAAAGGCACCAGGAACACCCAGAAGGGTAAATATAATCAGATCTATGCACCTACAGATACTTATTTATAGGGAACCTTCTCTTCCATCGCCAACACCACAAACAACAATGTTCCTGGGCAGTTATTTTAACCAGGAAGTTTCTTTGACTCACCATTGAAAGAAACAGTGAGGTTCATCCTGCTTTTAGTGAATTTTAGTATGAGACAACCAACACAACTGGTAATCCACTCATAGAATGTGAATAGATGCTTTTTCCCCCCTGAAAATCTAATTGTATGGACTAGATTTTTGAATACTCAAAGACATTTTGCTATGATTATTAGGAGCTTGCAGTAGGGGGACTTACTCACAGTAGGAACAGAAGGTAAGAATGAAATGTGTGGACTAGACCCAGCAAAGGTAAGAGGCAAAGATAAGGTCACTGTTTCTTTTAGGTACCAGGGATTAAGATGAGGTCCTAGAGAAGGGAGCAGAGTAGATCCAGAGGCAGGAGGTATGCTATCTTCATAGATGAACAGTGGACAGAGCATTGTCCAAGTCCCTCCGTTGAGTTCATAGACCACATGAACTGGACACACCAGTCTCATGTGTGGGTAGAGCCGCTGGGGGATGCCTGGTGAGCTTCAGGATGAAACTAGTGCTGTGAATAACTTGGAAAGATGAGTTCTGCATTTTCCTGAGTCCTTCCCAATTTCCTCTACAACAGAACTCTTAAACATCATCCTCTTAGGAAGGAGTGGTACTGGGAAGAGTGCAACTGGGAACACTATTTTGGGGAGATCTGCCTTCCTGTCTCAACTTGGAGCTCAGCCCATCACCAGTAGGAGCCAGAGCGACAGGACGACCGTGGACTGGCAGGATATTGTGGTGGTGGACACTCCATCATTCAGCCAGCTGCCTGATCTTCAAAAAGATCCTTCCAGGTTAAAGGAGGAGGTCAATTACTGTTTATCTCTCTGTGAGGAAGGAATGAAGGTTTTTGTCCTGGTACTCCAGCTGGGGCGGTTCACCCAGGAAGATGAGGCAGTGGTGGAACAACTGGAGGTCATTTTTAAAGAAAAAGATATGAGAGATATGATTGTGTTGTTTACACGGAAGGAGGATCTAGGGGATGGAGACCTTCATGACTATACTAGTAACACAAAGAACAAAGCCCTTAAAAGAATACTTAAGAAGTATAAAGGGCGAGTTTGTGCTTTTAATAACAAAGAAACCGGTCAAGACCGGGAGACCCAGGTGAAAGATCTGCTGGCAATAGCCAATAGTCTCAGGGATGACCATTCCGATTCGTGGGTGCATGTTGGCCATCAAATTAAAACAAAAATTACTAGTGTGTTTAAATAATGAGCTCAAGTGAGCAATCAAAAGGTCCAGGACATAGGGATGCCATCAGACAGAGGTGGGTGGGATAAGGGATGGCGGGACTGGTGGGATGGTTCCCCTCAAAGAAAGTCCATGACTTTAAAGACTGAAGGATAAATGCATCTCATGTTGGATATAGGTGTTTGGATGAATAAATTGTCAAGTAAGGTCAAGCAGTGGGGAATTAGAGGACAAAGAGAATAAGGTAGAAAATATTGGAAATGTTTTGAATATCAAGATAATATTAAGGGTCAAAACCATGTTGCCAGGTCAGACAGAGTCAGGATTGACATCATGACCAAGGCTCAGGTCAATGTTGAGCCCCAATAAGATAGTACCTCAAGAACCAGGGGATCCAGACAGATACAGACATGCACACACATGCATGCACACATACACACACACACAGACAAGGCCAGCATTCTTGGGCATGGCAGAAAGTGGATATGAACATCAACATTACAACTTCATTCTGTCTTTGTGCCCTGCTTCACTACTAGTGTGAAATTTATTTCCTGGTGTTTTGTGCATGGCTGAGAAGATCTACTGGAAGTGCTTGAGGTGGACCATATGTGAGATGAACAATATGAAACCATCTCCAAAGTGTATTAACGATCAGGCATTTTAAATATCCGCTACTTTCATATGTACCTTGAGGATAAGATAAAAAACATATGTGTTTAGTTAGCTTCAAGATTAACCTATTGGTAGGATAATGAAGTCTCAGAATTGATATGTTTTTGTTATTATACTTTATCTTAGGCAAAAGGTCAAGAAGTGATTCTGCTATAATTGAATGCCACATCCGTCTTAACACAGTAATTTGTAGAAAGTGCTTGTATAAGTATATCACATTGGATGAGATAATAAAGATGAATTGGATTGTGACTTCACACTTTCCTTCTGATGACATTTTTTCTGGTTTAGGGAAAGAGCCTAATTTCTCTTCTTCTTCTTCTTCTTCTTCTTCTTCTTCTTCTTCTTCTTCTTTTGTAAACTGCCTTAACCTTTGTGGGGAGAGGATAGCTAGATTGGGAGATGGTGAGTGCTTTGCTAGGCTGGCCTGTCATTGCCTAGTGGAGGCCAAGCCAGTGGCAACAAAGGATGGTGGCCAGACCCAGGGATAAATCTGTGGACTGTGCTTTTCTATCCATGAAATAGAGTAGACAGAGATGGCAGGAGAAATGGGACCTGATTATGTTTTTCTTGGACTGTGGATTTTACTGACATAAAACAGAATATCCTGTATACCTGGTATCAATATATAAAAAATGAGCTAAATTAACACAGTAAAATGGTCAATGAAAAAAATCAAACAATCAGAGTTATATTTTCCCCCTCAATCCGTAACATTTTTTCCCGTTGGAATGGAGTTGGCTAAAACAACACCACGACTTCTGGAGGCCCCTGCAAAGCAAGGCATCTGGTTGGACAGCAGGTGAGCACCAGGCTTCAATTCTGCGTACATGAGCCTTACAGAAATGGACTAGAGGCTGAGCCAAAGCAATGCAGGGTGGCCTGTGAGCAGCAGCAGCTTCCTAGATGGGTCAGACCACAGTGCTATGCAGGGATCATGATCTCCAGGCCAAATTAAACATCATAGTCCCTCTAGTCTGCAACCCCTCAAAGAACTGCAAGACGAGGGGGAACAGGGTATATCAACATTATATACATACTTCCATTACAAACATTTGAATACAGACTTCTAGACACATGTTACCTATATAATAAAAATGTACACGGCTGTAGTAATAGAAGCGGTGGGGCTGCGTCCCCAGCACCCGGCCGCCCACATGGCTAGCTCTATGCCCCAAAATAATTACACGGAAACTATATTCCTTTAAACATTGCTTGGCCCATTTCTATCTAGCCTCTTCTAGGCTAATTCTCGCACCTGGATTAGCCCATTTCTAGTGTAGCCCACTAGGTGGCTTACCAGGGAGATTCTAGCCTACGTCCATCCTGGGTCGGAGCTTCATCGCGTGTGCCTCAGAGAGCAGAGCTCTCGCGTCCGCCCTGGAGATGGGAGCATGGTGTCTCTGTCTGAGGCATCTTACCTCACTTCCTCTTCCTCCCAGCATTCTGTTCTGTTTACTCCACCCACCTATGTTCTAAGCTATGAGCCCAAGCAGTTTATTTATTACTTAACCAATGAAATCAACAGATTGATATATGACACTCCCACATCACACGGCATATATGTCACTGTATAGATGCAGAGTTTTAGAAATCTTGAACCTCCGTTTCCTGTTCACATGAAGCAGTGGCCTGATTTCATAAAGAGGCCACTGAAATGTCTAAGTACTTTGGCTGGGGTGAGGTTTTCACACCTCTGGTGCCCGAGTGGCAGTCACTTGTATGACAGGCCTTTACCAGCTCTGAGATTGTCTGCCTTAAACATTTCCCTGAACCAGGGGAAAAATGAATGGGAACAGCCTCAGAACCAGGAACAGGAGGATTCAGGTCTGGATGATAGTTGTGCCTCTTCCCTGAGATTCTCCTCTGCTTGAGGGCAGTAACACAGCCCTGCTACCTACCTCAGGCTGAGCAGGTGTCATTAGAACCTAGACATGACAAGGGACACACAGGCTAAGCAATGTGGCATACTCTCATTGTAGGGCCTACCATACGCTGCAGCGTTTCTTTAGAGTGGAGCAGCAATCCTGCTGTCAGTAGCTCTGAGAAGCACCTGGAAAGAGACAGGAGAGCTAGACCTTTACAAGGGTATGCCTGTGCAGATGAGGGACGAGTAGAAAAGGGCCAGGAAAACTTTGGGCTATGGTGCCATGTTCCCAAACAGACAAAGCCTGTACCAGCACAGCAAGGACCTCTGCAGTGCAGACTGGTCAGTAACGAGTCCTGCACTGGAGATATATTAGTGTCTCGGCTGGGCTCAGCTTTTGAGTAGGAACTTCCTGGAAAGGGCATGGCTGCATGCCGAAAGCTGAGGTAGGTCCTGAAGGCGTCGCCCTTGGTGGCTGCCAGCTAGCTGTATTCCTCGGAGCTGAGTAACAGGTGTCTTCTTGGAGAACATCCAGGGCTACCACTGTTGTAACAACTGTTCGGTGCACATTCACTGATCATGTATGTCTAGGGATTTCTTCTTTCGGGATTCTGCTTTTCCTGGGGAAACTGAGAAAGCAAGATTCCTAGGCTAAACTGCAGTCTTTGGCACTGCATTCACCCGTCCCAGACCACAGTGACCCAGGTACCCTCCTCCCCAACTCCCTCTTCTCAAAGCCCCTCACCATCTGCTTTCACCTTTGCTCATCTTGGTACTTCCTGTTGGTGGGACAAAATCACCCCTCCTGAGGGATTAGAATGAGTCCCTTATGACCATAGCCCTCCTAGGCTGAGCTGGCTATCCTTGCCCGGATGGGCAAGCTGCAGTTGGTTCCAGGATGGCGGGTCACATATATTCCTCTGTGCCTGTTGGCTCCAGGATGGGGTCACATATATTCCTCTGTGCCTGTTGTACCACAGTCACATGACCTCCCCTCACTGACTGGGACCAGTGGACCCCACCAGGCTGAGATTTCTCTTCATACCTGCTTGTTTGTGAGCACAAGGAAGCCTCAGTGTCCAGGAGGCAGCTACAGCTCACCGTTCAATGGGTTGTCTTAGCTCCTCTGCCCTTTGCTGTGACCAAACACGTGATAACCAGAAGGAAGGAAGGGAGGAGGGAGGGGAAGAAGAGTTTATTCTGCCTCATATTTTGAAAGCACAGTCCATTGTTATCAGAACAGGCACTTTGTCGGGGGGATAGGGGGCAACTGGTGACATGCTACCATGATTAAGAAGCAAAGAATGATGAGTAGTGGGTGCTGGGGTGCTCAGATCACTCTCCCCTTCTTAATCAGTCTGAAACCCCAGCCACGAAACGTTGTGACCTACAGTTAGGGTGACTCTTTTCTTTTTTCCCTCAACCCAATCTTAGAAACCCCCTCGCCGTTAGGCCAGTAGTCACAGGATGCGCTCAACAAACGAAGGATGTAAAAATCTGGCTGTGATCCGCACAGCACATTCCTCCCCTCAGCCACAGTTCCTGTTTATTGTTTTTCAGCTACCTTGTCCTCACAGATGGGGTTGGCAGCTTGTGCTGGTGAAAAGGGCAAGACGGAACAGGATCAAGGCTGAGCAACAGTGCCACACCCCAAACAATCTCAGGCAGTGTATTCAGACTTTGTTCTTCGTAAGACAGCTGCACTTTGAAATTCAGCAGGAGGTTATGCTCACAATAGCTACGCCTTGCCCCAGCTTTCACCCCACCCGATATTGTGGCCAGGACCCCAGCGAGATCTTGCTGTCCCTTGGGCATGTTTCTGAGTTTGCCTGGAAAGTGAACTGCACGAGCATCTGGAAATCTGTCACCCCGCTGCAGGGTGTTCAAGGCTTGTTTACCTGACTCATCAGAAGCTACTGCACATCGCTTACTCCTGATTAGCAAGTCTGTCTCTTGACAGTCATTGTGTCTCTGGGATGTCAGCCTTCCCAGCTCTGTTGGTCACCATGTCTTTAAAATGTCACCACTCTTGTTCCTAGTGGCCATGATACCTCCAGGAAGTTAATACCAAAGGTTTACCAGAGACAGGGGCCTCCACCACACACCTTTAATATTTCTTCTGACAATTACTACTCCCATCAAACCTTGGGTTTCTTGTGATGCTCCTAGTCACTCCACTGGCTACATTTTCTCTTCTTCTGTAGACCCCCTACTTTGGGAATGGTGTAACCATCTGTTAAGTTTCAGCTAAACTTGACATTTTCTGTCAGTCACTAACAGCAGCAGGAGTAGCCGCCACCACAGTTTTCTGGCTCTCCATTGTACCATCCCCTCTTGTCTTTATGTAAGTTATGGTCATCATAATTTTTTGGTCTGGCTGCTGTTTCTTAGGACTGAACTTTTCCATGGCTTCCTTCCCTCTATCCACCCTTTACTGAACCCGGATTCTGTCTATAAGGTTTCAGTGTACCATGAAGTGATGTCTGTGGGAATGGCAGGGTAAAGCGCTCCAAAAATCATTATTTCAAAAACAAACCAACAACGAAACCTTATTATTTAAAGAGTCCATTTTCAACAAGAAAACATTGTGTAATGTGGTAGTTTGAATGATAAATGTCCCCCATAGTTTCCGGCACCTGAACAGTTGGTCACCAGTTGGTGGCAACCTGTTAGGGCAGGATTAGGGGGTGTGGCCTTGCAGGACTGGGCTTTGAGAGCAAAAAGCCTCACCCTATTTGTAGTTAGCTTTCTCTGCTTGCTGCTTTCTCTTCAATATGTTAGCCACCAGCTTACTACTCCAGTCATTACGCACGCATTTCTCATTTCCATATCTACCAGCTACGATGGACTCTTACTCTCTGGAACCATAAGACTAGGAAAACACTTTCTTCTACAAGGTGCTTTGACTGTGGTGTTGTCAAGGCAGCAGGAAATTAGCCAATACAGCCTGTATACAGGAAAAACTTCCAATAAATCTGTCTGGAAGAAGCTCAGATGTAAGACCTACCACAAAAAGCTTTTAAGTCAGCTCTTAAAATTCTTTCAAAAGAACTTAAAAAATGTTTAAAGCAAAGCCCCATAGAATAGAGAATATCACCAGGAAGAGAGAGACACACAGCATTTAAAATACTAAGCAGAGGCTCTGGAGTTGAAAGAAAAGCATAATAAAACAAAAAAGTGTACTACAGGGCTTGACAGCAGGTTTGAACAAGCAGAGAAAGCAACCAGTGAACTGAAAGGTGGAAAACTGAGATGCACAGTCTGGGAACAGAGAGGAGAAAGAGACTAGGAAAAGTCAGCACAGCAGGGACCTGGGAAGCTCACACGTGATAGGACTCCCAGAAGGGGAAGAAGGAGGAAACAGTAGCTGGAGAGATAGTGACCACATCC